CTCCCGGAGGAGAGCCCCTGCTGCCGATGTCGAGGGGCGGGAGGGCAAATATGGCCGCAGGCGTTCCTTCAAGTATCCAGGTCCCAAGCCATTAAGGGCTTTATAAGAAATTACCAACACCTTGAATTGGGCCCGGATTTCAATGGGGAGCCAGTGAAGCTGACAAATGACTGGGGTTATATGAGAACAACACCCAGTCCCCGTCAGCAACCTGGCAGCTCTATTTTGCACCAATTGAAGTATCCGGATCGTCTTCAAGGGTAGCCCCACGTAGAGCACGTTACAGAAATCAAACCGGCAAGTAACCAATGCATGCGTCACTGTCGCACTGTCTTCCCCATTCCAGCCGACTCCGGTGAAACCTTGGGCGCACAGGCCTTCTTTAAAGCTTTCCAGGTTACAAAGGAGCATGAATCAAAGCGGGGCTCTCCGTGAGACGCGGGAGAAGTATCTGCCCGTGTGAAGAGCTGAATCCGAGCTGCAATTTACCCCCGCCCCCGTCCCTCCCTTTCGGAAAAGATCCTGCCACGGTTTGATGCGAGGTGCCCCGGGGAACAGTAGGCGCTTGCATGCATTTCTGTGCTTGGCCTGGAGGGGAGGCTGTGGAGCTGCGCCTCATCCTGTCCTGGCCAGTCGGAGCCCTGAGAGCTCAAATCTGAACGTCCAGTGCAAACAGGCATGCGGTGCCGGGGCTGGAATGGCAGTGGGATCACAGATCCCGATCACTACAAATCCCTCCTGCCCCCAGTCCTTTATTTAGCCACTCAGGCTCATCATCTCTGTTCTGGCCGACAACTCAGGAATGCGGGGGACAGGCCAACACACGTATTTTTAGCCCTCTTCTGGGTCTTCTTTTAGGCAAGGGCACCGATAAGGCCAGTGTGGTGTGACGATGGACATTTTCAGCTTGGGAGCCTTGGCACATTTCCCAGAAACAAGATGCACGAGCGTGATGCTGTAGAAAGAGAGGCAGTACGGTGCAGCGGTTATAGGGCTCGACTAGAACTCAGAGCATGCCTACAAGCACCAGTTGTGGGGGCACTTGGGCAGGGGGTGCTGAACGCTTATGCCCTCCTTGTGGGCTTCTTGGGGACACCCAGCTGGGTGCAGTGCGAGCAAAAACCCGAGCCAAATTGGCCTTTGCTCAGATCCAGCGGGGCCCTTCCTGGGCCACAAAGCCTCCAAGAAAGCAGGCCCAAGGGCAATTCCCCAAAGCCAGGGGCGGGGGTCTGCCAACACTCACCCAGCATCGGGTGCGCAGCTCTGAAACAGCCGTGACAGGGAATGGCGCCCCGTGATCAGGCGCGGGAGGACCTGCCTTTCCCCAGCTCCTTCGACCTTCTCCTCTCACCCACTGCTGCTTGCCAGTTTTTCCCACTCCCCTTCTATTTAATACCCATGCATGCATTGCCTTGTGTTGAGCTGCATGGCAATCTGTCCTGATTCTTTGGCCGGTGAGGGGTCCTAGTGGGGTGAGGTGCTTTTTGAGCACAATCCCATGAATGTCTGTGTGGGCATTGAGTGTGATGGGTCCTTGTTGCAGAAAATGGAATATTTATTTAACTTGTTTGTTCCTTTTTAAAGCACACTTTCTCCACATTTATCAGGCTGTTGCACAGAACGACACTGAAAAAGTCACAAAAAGTCACAGATGTTTGCATCCTCCATTTCTTTTGCAAGCAGGCCCCCACTGGGTTCTGGCATTTAATAATTTCTTCTTGCTCTGTGCCAGCAAGTTGTTTTGAACATAAATGAGAGCCCCCCCCCCAAAAAAAATCTCCCATCCAGGACAGCCCTGCTCAGCCCTGCTCAATCCAAGCCATGGCTTCCTGCATGGACTGGACCCATCTCGTTTTTGCTCTTCCTATTCTTATTTATTTCTTTATTTATATTGCGATTTATATCCTGCCTTTTTCCTGCAAAGGGCTCAAGGCAGCTTACATCATTCTCCTCCTCCATCTTATCCCCACAACAACAACCCTGTGAGGTAGGTTGGGCTGAGAGTCTGTGACTGGCCCAAAGTCCCCCAGTGGGCTCCATGGCTGAGCGGGGACTCGTACCTGGATCACCTGAGTCCCAGTCCCACGCTCTTAACCACGACACCACACCGGCTCTTCTTTGACTTTCCCTACCATGGCGGTCTCACCGCGGAGTCTTGCCTTCTCATGACCTGCTCAACATACGCAAGGCCCAGTTTTACCATTTTTGCTGCTAGGGAAAGCTTCGGCTTGATTTGATCCAGGGCCCACTTGGCTGGTCCAGGGTATTCCCGAGGCTCTCCTCCAGCACCGTGATCCAAACACATCCATGCGCTTCCCATCAGTGTTCTCCCCCGTCCAGCTTTCACCCCCATGCACAGTGATCAGGAATACAGCAGTGCACAGGATCATGCCCTTGGTCACCAGGGAAACATCCTGACACTTGGCGACCTTTCCCTGTTCCTTCCTTGCTGTCCTTCAAAGTCTGTCTTAATCAAATTTCTTGGCTGATGCCTGCGTTCCAGGTTGATGACTGAGCCAAGGTATGAAGAATCTTCCACAGCTTCAATTTCTTCTGCGCTGACACGGCAGTTGAGTAATTCTCCTGCAGTCAAGATGTTGGTTTCCTTCATCTTCACAGCTGCGGTTCTGTTTTTGCACTTTCTTCTTTCTCTTTCATCAGGAGTGCTTTCAGTTCCCTGCTACAGCTTTCTGCTGGTAATGTAGCAAGTTCTACAAATGCCAAATGACTGAAGTTTCTCCCATGAATTCCCCCTCCTTCCTGTGATCCCAATCCAGCTTTCCTGATTTTTTCTAGATAGATTGAATGGATGGGGAGATAGAATGCACCTTTGCCTGATACCTTTGCCTATAGTCTGTATTGTGCCGTTTATAATATATGAGGGTATTGAGAAATATAGGTATTATGCCCTGATGGAGGTGCAGCTAAAGTCTGCAAAATCGACTGCCTTGCACTAGATCTCCAGGGAGACAGAGAGCACCCACAAAATGCTCAAACGTTTGAGTCCTGGGGCAGAGTTGCAAATTCAGTGTGTGTAGTGTGTGCGGCAGTAGAACAGTTGCCATGGAGGAAGACTTACCTGTTCACAACATGCTTTGTTTGGTTATGAAGAAGACAATGGCAAAGATGACAACAAAGATGAAATCATGGTTATCGCATTACATTTCTCTGCAGCCTGCAGCGGAAACTCTCGGGGTGGTTCGCAGCATTTCAAGCAGGCCTCATCTTGCTTAGCTTCCAAGACTTGGCAGCATCAGGCACTTCAGATTATATGGAAGTTACTCGGGAAGCTAATTACAAGGCATTGGTGCGAGGCTAAGATCCCCAAATGTTAATTCAGATAATAAGCTCTCACAAAAGCCAGCCAAGATTTTGTGAAAGGGCAATTCTCCCTCCCCAGCAACCTTTCCAGAGAAGGCACCTCTGGGTCCTCAGCAGCAACATCACCTCCATTCCATGGACCAGGGCAAAATGCAGGGGAAGAGGAAGACCAGGGGTAGGTGGTCCTCCCTCTTGGCCTCTGGTGCCCAGAACTGGGCGCAGAACTCCAGCTGAGCAGAGGGGAACTAGCACGTCACACATTTTGGAAGCGATGCTTCTGTTAAGGCAGCATTTGCCTTTTTTGCAGCCGCATCACGTCACGAGGCAGCTCCGTGTCAGCATGAGTGGACACCCGTGCACGAGGGAAGGCCAGGCCCTGGCTGAAGAGCCGCGCAGCACCTGGTCCAGGCAGGTGATGACATCCAACAGGCACGTCCACTGACTTTAGAGTGCGCTGCACCCACCTGACGGTCCTGGATGGGTGCAGAGCTCACGGGGTGCACCAGGAATGGTACAGTCCCAACACACAGCAAGTCTGAAAGCAGGCGCTCCAAGGAGAAGGCAGTCAGACTCCCAGCGCTGATGGGCATAGGTGGCCTCCAGGCTCATGGGTGGCGTGGCTGAGCACACCTGTTGCTGGGGAACATGGCTGCGGCCGCACTCCCCTGCCCTGTGGGATCTCACAGGCGGCTGGTTGGCCACTGGACGAACAGAGCACTGGGCTAGACGGCGGGGCGGTCTGATCCAGCATGGCTCTCGCGTCCTCACTGGGCTGGGGAAGACTCCAGCAAGCAAGAGCAAGCCGGGGGCTTTATGTGAAGGGGCAGATCGCTGCCCTTGCAGTCAAAGCCACAGCAAGTCACGTTCCCACTGGTCGACCGGCAAACCTGCTCAGATCTTGTGCTCGACACTGAAGGAGAGACGAAAGGCTGGCTGGGTTTCCTGCAGCCAGGCGGGTTGGGCAAGATGGCCCCGGAGGCCCTTTGCAATGTGAATTTCTGCGAGAGGCCGGCCCCGGGCTTACATGAATGGGGGCACATGCTTCCCACACGCCCCCCAGCAGCCTCTTGCAGCATTTTCTTCTTCCTGCCAAAGGATGGCCAAGTTTGCGCTGCTCGGCACACTGCACTTCCTATTTATTAACAGCTTTTCTAGGCCATCCACTAGTGCCTTGGGGTGGCTTACAAGAAGAAATGAAAATATAGAACGAAACAAGGCACTGCATCCAACCTCAATAATAAAACCCAGAATAAAACCAATTAAACATTAAAATGATGGGGAAATAAAAAGGATTTTGCCTGATGCCGAAAAGAATACAGCGATGGCGCCAGGCAAACCTCCCCCGGGAGCAAATGCCAGTCTTCCTCCACTGATAAATTCTGAAGTTAAGCAAGTTCAGGAACAACTATGTAAAGATGACTAGTTATTCCAGCCTGTGCTACAGAAGCGATTGGGGAACTTGGCGAACTGAGCAGGCATTCCAACTTTTGCTTGGCAACAGGAAATGTGAGCGATATCCTTCCTGAAGCCACCCAAATGCATCATGGCAGGAACTGCACATGAATCTCTTCTGTCAAAAACGTTGCCAAGGAACGCCATTCAGGCGGAGACCTGAGTCATGAATGATCTGCATGCCTTAAAATAGAGCACTGCTGGGTCACAGAAGGACAGATTATCAATTTGTAGAATACCACAAACTTTTTATTTAAAAATTTCCATATACAAATTGTATTATTTGAACATATAACCTCAAAAAGTTTTTATTTTAATAAATCTGCTTAAAATTAGTAACACATGTAATTGCATAGAAAAACTCAGCAAGAAGCTTTAAGGTTGTCACCAACGTGCTAGGGAAATATAAACATATTCCCTGGAATTTCAGCTGTTGCATCTGAACTGCATAACGTGGCTACTCCAACTTCACATCTCTTAAAGGAGAAGTGTTGGCCGTGAACAGGCCCCTCACCACTGCCTGCAGCTGCTGAATGAATGTTGGGACAAACGTGCAACTTTCCCCACCTGGTACCCTCCAGATCTGTGGACTACATCGCCTAGCATTCCTGATGGGCCGGATGGGAACAAAAGAAGTCTCTTGGGAGCATAACCTCAACAGCCCCTCCAAAGTGACTAAGATCTTACTGGCATTGCCATGAACGGTTCTTACTCCTGAGCACCATGAGCACTGCGTGTTCACTCGCTTGCTCACTGGGCGCGCTGAGGACCGAGAAGCATCTCTTGCTGCTCCATCCCGCCACCACATTATCTGGGCCACACCCAGCGGCAGAGCGCAGTCAACGCTGCGGAAGAGCAGATCAACCGGAGGGTGCCTGCCCTGGGTGCCGGCCCTGCAGCCGCCCCAGGTGTGCGGAAGGCCTTTGCGCACATCTGCAGGAATGACTGCTCTTCCACCCAGCTCTTAGTGCCGTTCCGTACGGCCTTCGGCACGTCTACTGGCAGATCCGCAGTGCCGAGCGGCTTCAGCAAGGTATGGCTGCTATCGCCAAGGGGCCCCAGGACGGCCGCTCGCATTGCGCAGGAACAGCAGCTCTGTGCGCCTTTGGATCCACGCCGTGCATTCTTGGCATGGAGGATTTGGTTTTGCAGCAACTGAGAACAGTATTCCAATGGGACCGTTAAGGCTCAGAGCCTGTGCAAGAAGAGAATATTGTCCTTGAGGGGAGGGAAACCTGCCGTGAATTTAGCTGGGGACCGGGGAAGAAAAATCAGCACACCCCAGCTGTCTCACGTGGTACTTGCAAGACTTCTGCTCTGATCCCTCCACCTGCTCTGCGCCAGGATTTGCACAGGGCTGCCTCCAAGTGAAACGCAGGGAGAGCAGAGAAAAGGGAGTCCAGCACTAGGCAGACTGAAAAGCAACCTCCCCCCACCCAAACACCTTGCCTGCAACTTCACGAAGTGCTGGCTCAGCACCTTGGGAGCAAGCCTCGCGGGCAGAGGCTTCATGCCTGGAAGGAATCTGAGCCCCCCTTCTCAAAGCCTGACCCGAGTCATCCTCCTGAGAAAGAGGGATTCCTGCAAGGGTTATGGGGGGTGCTTATCGGCCTTCTTCATCAGGGAGCTCGCAATGGCCAGCGCGCCCCCTTGCACGAACCGCACGAAGTTGTCCCCAGCTAAGGGCCCCATGGCATAGAGGCCCTTCTCGTGGACACATTCGTAGGTGAAGGGATCTGTGTCTATGGGGTTTCGCTTGGAGCTGACCAGCTGCCCACCGTCCACAGCCAGGTCCATGCCATTGTTGGGCAGGTATGAGAGGTTGGGGTTGGAGCCGATAAGTACAAACGCCATGGAGATGTTGTGCATCTTCCGGTGGCCATTCTTATCGGAAAAGATGCACTTCCTGTCCTCCGTGAAGGAGACCACGTGGTGCTCAGGAAGGCTGGTGTAGCATTCGTAGGGGCCAGGGCAGGGGATGGCCTGCTCCTTCATCATCTGGTGGACCTTGTGGTACTCGGGGTACATTGTCTTTGGCAGCTGGTTGAAGATGAGGCCTGGATCGTTGACTCGCCTGCGGAAGGCATGGATCACCGGAACGTTGCAATGGTGAGCGAAGAGTATGGCGTCCGCCGCCGTGAGCCCGGCACCTACGATCAGGATTGGATCGGACATCATGCCCATCTCCTTGCTCTTCACCGCTTCCTCCAGAGCAGAGAGCGTGTGGTGGACAAACGGGAGGTGCTCCCCTGGAACCCCCAGCCACGACGGGCTGTCGTAGGTCCCGGTGGCCAAGACCACATTCTCCGCATAGATAGAGAAGGGCTGCGTGCCACCGACAGTCGTGACGAGGCCCTCAACCTTGAAGAGAGTCCCATTCTCCTCTTGGTGGTGGGCTTGTAAGGTCTCTGGGAGGGTACAGGGAGAGCTGCCGTCCCCGGAATCTTGAGCACGGCAGCCCGAGCCTGGCTCCACGCTCAGCTTCTTCACGCAGGTCACGAGAAGGCCACAGAGGAAGTTCTTCCGCAATTCTTTCTTTGCCACGTAGTACTGGTAATACTGCACAATGTCTCCCGCTGTAGCCCTGTTATTCCTGAAGCCCCTGCGGTAACAAGGACAGAGTCTATCAGCACAGATGCATTGCCGAGGGACACGGTCTCCTACGGCGGTGTATCCTAAGATACGCAACACCAGTTCATTAGGAAATACAACGACAGACACTGGAAACACATCTCGGGGCAGAGTGTGCTGTGAAAAATATGCTTTGCAGTTTGCTCCAGTGGAATTCGCAAATGGCAAACATAGGATATGGCAATTCCTTCTGGTTCCAGGTCATTTTATTTATTTTCAGAAAGTACAATAAAAAGAAGGAAATATACGGGAAAGAAGGTGCCAAAGATCATTCCACAAATTTGGCATGCAATATCTTCACTTAAACACATTTATAATGAATGAACTCTCTATCAACCACCTTCCCATCCAAACCATTCAATTCTCAACCAGAAATTCATCTAGTCTATTAGAATTTGTTATTAATTATAACATTGCTTTGGTTTAGTATGATAATCACAGAAATTTATAAAAATTATATTTTCTTTAACCATTATTTAAATTGCTCAACATAGGCTTTCCCTCTTTGAATAAATTCTTTATAGTTGGTTAACTTTAGGGTGGATGCCAGGAAGTCCTTCCTGACGGTTAGGACCCCGAGGGCGTGGAATGGGCTTCCCCGGGAGGTGGCTGAGGCCCCATCGGTGTGGGTGTCCAAGGGCAGGCTGGACGTGCACATGGTGGGCATGTCGTAAGCGGAGCCGGCTGGAGCCGGGGGTCACACTGGGTGGCCCGGGAGGCCCCTTCTGACTCGCGCTGTTTCTGTGTTTCCAACTTCAGCATTGTTATGGCAATAATTTCTGCATCGCTCCATTTCTCTTCTCTGCTCTGCATTTAGGCCAGGACACACAATTGCCTGTGTTTCCTCCTCTTGCGCCTGTAATTCAGAAATGGAGCCCTTCCCCCAGAGGGCTGTGGGTGGATTGCAAGCAAAGCACGAGGCAGGAATCAAGCCACCCAAGACTGACCATGCAGGGCCTTCAGCAGGACATTCCGAGTAAGGCAGCGATGGGCCTTGAAGGTCCTTTCACAGCGTCCAAGGGAACAATAATGCCCACAGAAGACGTCTCTACACCATCCAGCCTGCTCTGTGCAAATCAGTGAGGGCTTGCCCAAGCCGTTCTGGTGCTGCAGGCAGGGGACAAATGGCGCGCTCTCCCACACAGCGCTCGGGGCAACCAAGTTATGTTGGCATCTGAGGCAGAAACACCTGCATCCCTGCCAGCGCCCGTCTGTCAAGCAGGGCTCCCATCAGCCCTAGCATGTGCAGTCAGTGCTGGGGGACTATGGGAGAGCTAGCTCACATTGTCCAGGGCCGTAAGTTGCCTGCCACTGTTCTAAAGGAATGAAAGTACCATAATAAGACACGAAACAAGCATTGTGCGGTCTTTCATGACACCAAAATGGATAACCGTAACAAGACTGGGAAAGAAGTTATCTTGGACGGAACTAAGCAGACTTCTAAGGAGAGTTTCACTGCCTGTTTTCAAAGGGGAGGGACAGTACCTTTTCTTCTTGCTCAACCAGTCTTTGAATGGGACGTCAGGAAGGCCCATCCACTCCCCCTGACTCAGAGTAAACATGGAGCCCTCGATGGACTAAAAAGAAAGGAACAAAGCCAGAACATCAGTCAAATACGGTCGGGAGGGTTTGGGAACTGCACCGCAGAAAGTCTCGCAGGCTCACTGGCTGTCCCTTTAATCTGCCTATTCTAAAAATAAATTCAAAGGCCATAAGAGATAACTGGGCTGCTCAATCTTCCTTAGGCTTATCAGAAATAAGCAAAGGCAGAGAGCCTAAATGCACACAGGGCATACAAACTCATCACACACTTTCTGCAACACTGTCAATTCATCTTTCTTCCAATGTTTTTTCCTGCTGGAGTCAAGTTCAGTCAACACCAGGCAGAATACATGCAATTTGTAATCTACAGTTCATGCATCAGCAAACTCTGTCCACTTCTCTTTGTTGGTGAACGGGTACTTCCGGGTCTTTAAGATGCCGGAAGGTGGTGCGGGTGCCTTGCGAGGGTGCGCAATCTGCTAGGCCAGGCGTGCAAGCGTCCAAGGTCTGGCCTGCGCAGCCAAAGGTGCCCTTGCCCATCCCCACATCAGAGCTCCCCCAGCTGTCTGCCCATCTCCCTTCTCCTTCCTCAAGCCGCACTTACGTGCCAAGCTCCTCCGGGAAGGGTCTTGCCAAGGACCAGATGAGGAACAGCCCTCTCAGGCTGGTGCCACCAAGTCAGGACAGACTCTGCGGTCCCTCCAAAATCGGTGTCCGGCCGCAAGAGCGAATCAAAAAGGAGTGCAACCGGGCTGGAGGATCTCCCTTCCAAACCTTCGGACAGGTACTCCAAATCCTGAAGGAGAGAGAAGGAAGTGTAATGCCTGCCTTTGCCACCACGGATTTTTATTTGGGAAAGCTTTCGTGATGGGACGGTGCCTGGCCCACACAGCAGGTCAATATTTGATTACTCCCCTGCAGGTTTCAGGGCGGCCTACTGTCCCTGGGATGCAGCCCTTCATTCACACAGTTGTTATAAGCGTTGCTAAATCGCATCCGCTGGTGCTTCATGGACTGCCAGGCATTTTTCATTCCATCATCTGCTCACTGGTGGATTTTGTTAGCCAACTGTTCATTCTGGCCATGTCAATTCACATCACATTAGCATGAACGGAAGATTCAGGGGAAGTTCCAGGGCTGTGGGGGTGGACTTTCCAACAGTGAGGCGTCCCTGAGGCAAAAGGCCCCGGGGCCGAAACACCATCACGTTTCAGCTGAGAGGTCTTACGGCTAGTAAGCAAACCTTGGGAGTGACATTCCAATGTTTTAGGACAGGGAAGGCCCTGCAAATAGGCTGATCAACCAACAGGAGAGGGACTTAAAGTGGCATGGCCTTGAGCAGGGCCCCGGAGCACCACACTGAGACCCCAGACAGGTCAGATGCGACTGAGATTCTGCATCCCTGTGTCACAAGGTTTTTTTCCCATTTGCAAATGCAGAGAATCTCTTCAGAGCTGAAATCTTTCACTAATGCACCAGTTACACAGAGCTGCACCATACAGACTACTAACCTGGTCCAAGATGGAAACCTCCGGCAGTTCCTCCAGTTTCCTTTGCAAAATGGGGTTTGGATGAACAGAGTCCCTTCTGACATAGGGGACATTGCCAGACAGTAGGTAGGACAAGCAGATCCCGGAGGGACCATTTCCTGGAAGAGAGAAACCCAAATGATCTGCAAGAGCTGAAACAGCAGGTACCCCCAATTAGAGCATTTTATTCAGTTCCTGACAGGCGCGTGTGATGGATGTGCAGTTGCGACGCCAACAACAGGAGAGCGATTTGTCCTTGCATTGTCCGGAGGATGCCAATTCCTACTGAAAGAGGCAGTCACACTGTTTCTGCAACCTCCCTTCCCTCCTGGGCGTTCTTAGGAAGCACTTGATCTCCCTTTGACTGTGCACGCCTTTCCTGACGACTGGCTTCGAAGCCAAGAGAGTGCTACTTGGTTGAGCTTCACTGGCTGATTTGGGCTGAATTAAAGGGGGCAAAAGAGAAATCCCTGACGGAGTCAACCTGCAATCCTACACCTAAAGCTCAGGAGAACTTCCCAGCTGGCAAGTGTCAGATGGCATTATGCATCTCCAATTCATCTGCAGGTGAGTCATTTGCATTTTCTGCTCCCACCACCCAGCGTGCCTGGCCAGCCCTGGAAAACGTTTCAGGAAGAGCTTCGGTGGGCAGTCCAATCCCCTTTGTCTAGCTAGATTAATATTTCACAGTGCCCCTGCGTAGCCATCTGTTACTTTCTGGAATGTAAATCTGCACCATGCAACAGAATGTACCAGAGAAGATGAAATGCTGGACAGCTGCATGAGACCAGGAAACGGGTGGGGGGCCCATTCCATTTGGCACAGTCACTAAGTTGTAAACTCAGCTGGGAGCCAAGATTGCTTCTGGCCTATATTTAGGGCTCTCGATGGCCTAAGCACCCATCAAAGGAGGGGTGGACTGGACAGTCACACGGCCAGTGCTCCCCAGAGGCATGAGGGGCTCGAATGACAGGCTGGGAATGCCGAGCCCTTGCTGCTGCCACTTTGGAGGCAAAGGGCATTCTCCAAAAATAAATGTGCAGAGGACTGAAATGCTGGTGGGAACAGGGTGGGTGCAGGATGCAACGCAGCCAATGTGGCCTAGAGCCGCAAGAGGGCCACAAAGCAAAGTCCAAGCCATGGCTACGGATCCGGACATGCCTGCAGAGAGGTTTTCCGTGAGCTTCCTGCTGCCACTGAAGGCCCGTCTGGCCACGATGAACTAAAATTCCCATCCTAACCCTCTTCTCAAAAGCACTGCCACTAAAAGAAGGATCAAGATCGAGAAGGAAATGCACATTCCTTCCTACATCCCAGGACAGATGCGACAGAATTCCTGGCAATTTTGCTTCCTGGATACTGATAAACCAGGTAACTGTGATGCCGGCATGTGGGTCTTTGCAGCCAGGTGCCAAGAACGCGCAGCCACAGCAGACTTGGCAGGTAGCAGCTGAACCATGTGGTTTACTCAGCAGTAGGGAGGGTAGCCCAGGATTTCTGGTGCAAGCTTCAGCTGGAGGGGAGCCGATCCTAAGAGAGCAGCATGTCCCACAGATTGCAACGGGCTTATTGAAATACATGACAACCACGGCAAGAGATAATTGCATCGAACTGGGAAGCTGACGGCTGTCCAGCTGCTGCAGACTGGAAGAACTAGTTAGCTGACTGTGCAACGATGGCACAATTAACTTATTACATTAACAGAAGGCTAGTCAAAGAGTTTATTCAAAGATGGAAAGCTTATTATGAGCAATTGAATTAACAGTTAAAGAAAGTATGGTTTTTATAAATGTCAGTCATTTCAGCAATAGACTGGGCAAATTTCTATGGGGAACTGAATTGCTTCAATGGAATATGGCCAATGGAGCTTGTTCATGAATGTGTGTAACTTCTGATATAACGTGCTATATTTGTGGATTGATCCTCAGTGCCCTGCTTTTTTTATCTTCCTTTCTTATTGTACCTTGGGGAAATAAATTTTAAAAGATCTAAATGAGGGGTGTGCATGTACATACAAACCTGGGAAAAGCCAGGTGCCTTCACGCCTACCTCAACTGTTGTGGCAACAGAGCATCCTTGAAAAAAACATATTTAACTGGCTCTGGGCCAGTCAGTATTCCCATTCTAGGCAGCACCATGTGACCAAGAGCCGGTTCGGCCTTCAAGTCTTGCAGGAAGCCTGGTCCAGTTTGGAGGAAGCAGGCAGTGCTTAAGGGACTGTATCTGCCACCTGACTGAATTTAAAATAGCTTGTGATGTGTGAGGAGCGGCCGATGCAGAAGTGACCCTGCTGCTTGCATGATGCAAGGAATGCAAGAGAACTCTTTGCTGGCCAGCTGAATCTGCAGGTACGTCCCCGCCGCCTCCCTGCGTCCTCGAGCGCATGTGCTCCAGGTTCCTTCATGAGCTGATCTGAGGTGCTGTGGGGGGGGGGCGGGGGAGCAGGGTCTCCAGAGGGGTTGCACTGCAGCCTTGGAACCAACGTTGCCAAAGGAGGCCTCGGGAGCTCAAGACTGTCAGACGCCACGTGAACAGAATCTACCCGCACAGGGCCGAAGGTGCAACAGCTCGCCTTGCAGCTAAGTTTGGATCTGCTCCGGGGATGGACGGGAAGCCTCCCAGGCATGGGCACGTAGGCTGCCTTGCCGTGATGTGTGTGTGCTATAAACCACATCACAGTTCATTAGACATAGTGAAACATCGTGGCGTCTCTTTGTAAGCCTTTGCCATGCCGAGTCACCCATGCCAGAAAAGAAAAGCAATTGATCACCAGAAGTGTGCTAAAAGGGTGAGCTCCTGATCCTTTCAATTCAGTTCAAATCAAACAGTGGGAGTGCTAGTCCTCGAGGGCTTAGCCAATAACTGCCTGGGGATTCCTAATGGGAGCTAAGAGGCAAGTTTGCTCCCCCAGAACTGGTAACTGACCAGCAAGCCCTGTGCTGTGCAGGCAAGCGGAGAGGAGGAAGGCAGCATCCATCTGGAAAGAATGATTTTTGCAGAAATCTATGTTCTGGCAGGCCGCTGCCGCAAGAAACCTGGAGCAAGGTCAGCTTTTGTGAGCCTCATGCTTGGAGTCTTATTTGCTCCCACTCTGCTCTGTCTTCAGATCAGACCAAAAGCTAAGGGTGCTGCTCTCCAGTGCGCTCATCATCCAAAGCAAATTAAAACATGCAGTGTTATTCCCAGACTGACTGTCCTGGGAAAGCGTGAATATGCTTCTGAGAAAGTCTGGCCTGGACTTGCAGAAATGTGTGCTGGTATCAACCCAAGCCTCGGTGCTGGCCAGCAACAGGGCAGGACGATTGTCGTGGCTGGTGGGCAAAACCCGCTGCAAGACAGGGCAGTAGAACCTGCAAACGACCAATTGCTTCCCCTCTGCAGAAAGATACTGCTGAGCAGAGAGCAGCTGATGAGTGCAGATAAGGACGGGTGAGCATTTGCAGCTGCCCAAGGGAAGGGGCTGGAAACAACGGCACCAGAAAAAGCTGCAGTGAAGAACCTGCCGGCGGGCAGCCTGGCTTAAGCCCCCAACTGTCATCTGCGTGATGGAAACTGCATTTGCAACTGAGCTCGGAGGGTAAAGAGGAGGGTAAAATACAGAAGTGAAGGCCGTTGAAGCACTTTGGCGCACGCTGCCCAACAAGAAGCGACATCAAGTCAGCTCATGTTTGCACGTTTGCCAATACAGATGACAGTTGCTGTCCGTGGCTTTCGTGGGTTGCAGAAAGGGGTCTCCCACAGCCGCCCAGCGAGAAGCAAGCATCTGAGTGGGAGATCTTCATGCAAGCCATGGGCTCTCCCAGCTTAAGGGCTCTTAGGCCAGCCAACCTCAGTTCCCAGCTTTGGAACAAGAGGGATGCCTGGAGCCTACTTTGCTTTCTTTTCGGCATCTTTTTATTTTCCCAGCATTTTAAACTGCCTAACTTTTAAACTGTGCTCTTATCTATCCCATGCTATTCTGTACAGCTTCTAGGCTTCTGTGTGGCCTAACGGCAGTTGCAAGAACAGGTTTGCTCTTTTTAATTTGTGTGCATGTGTCTTTTTAGCTTCTGCTTAATTGTAGCTTTGCTAACTGCCCAGAGAGCCTCGGAACAAACAAACCGCCCCCCCCCCCATCTTCTTGCCCCACTAACCTTTCCCTTTCTAGCCAGGGCATCTTCCTCATCTTCTTGGAAATGGTGGGGTTGAGCTGAACAAGCAGGTTGCAATGGGGGAGAAGCAACTCCAGGGAGCTCCTTCAGGATGACGCCTCGGGGGGTGGGGGCAAGGGCCCTTAGCATGTGCCTGACTGTACCCACTTTGACCCCCCCCCCCACTGTGTTGCTGCCACAAACAAGGGAGGATTTAGAGCTGGTGGAATCTGATCCCACAGTAAATGTGGCAACTTAAACAAATCAGGCACAGATCATCATTTTAACCATCTTCATCTGAAGCTGATGGGAAGGGGGAACCTCATCGCCATGAAGGACTGCCAGGCAAGAAGTCACATAAGCACAATGGGTAAGGCACTATCTGATACGCTATTCTTCTGTACCCCGTCCCCCCGAACTGGAGAAGTGCAAGTCCAGAGCAAAATGAAATAAACATTAGATAAAATGCTCTATGTATGCCTGTTCTCCCATGTAAGCACAGTTTTCCCAGAAACCATGTGTCTTCAAAGAGAAGAACCCTGGCAGTGCATTCAAGCAAATCCCCTTGGACTACATTCAAGAATTGCAGTCCATTTGTTTCCAATCAGCAGGACCATTTTCGTTTTCACACCAAAACGGCACAGCAAGGAGGGGGGATTCTAGGACATGTAACTTGTGATGTTCCAGAACATCAGCCTAGCTGCAGAGCACAGGGTGGACCGGGGAGATAACCACCTCTGGAAAGAACAGATTAATCCCCAGAAGGTATTTACCTATGATCACCACAGGGAGGGGCTTGGCAGGGCGATGTTCCAGCTGTGTATGCAGCATGATCTCCAGCCGCTGGTAGAGTTCAGCCCCCTCCAGGTCAGTCTGCAAAGACAAGGTCAAAAACATATGCGTTATCACTGCAACCAGGTCCCCACGCCGCATGGAAACTCTCCTACTCCCGGCAAGTGACACAAGGCATCCTTCTGCACCTATTGAGCAGAGCTGAAACAGATATTTGACACTGGAGAACTCAGCAGGAAACTGGAGGACTCCAGCTGATTTGCCAGTCTCATTTAGATTTGCATCGCCCACACGAAAACGCCACCACTCTCCCACTCAATGAGATCCGAGGGCTTTTTAGTCGCGTTTGCGTGCAGGCCATGCAGCATTTCCTAGGCCGGGAAATGCCACTGCATGTGAACAATACCGGTATGCTTAGCGAGTACGCAGCAAATGTTTGCATACCCAAAACCAGCATTCAGCAAGAGGCCCTTTGGGGAACGAATTTGTTTAAATTTATTTTTACGCTTAGCAACGCAGCTCCACAAGCAAGTGTGAGCATGGCCACAGCAGCTCATGGAAGCTGCAGAAGACGGCAGGAGTCTGTTTTACGATGAGGAAGAGCTGTAAGACATTCCAAAAGGCCAACCGAAGGTGGAATGGGCACTGCTCCCTCCACAGTGCGCCTGGGGCTGGCGGGGCACTGCTGAGCTCCTAACCAGGCTGGCCGCCGTCTTCTCTATTCGCTCCATTTTGCACAAAGCAAGTAAAGTGACATTTTGCACTCCTCCTCATAGTTACCAGGGAGAGAATGAGAGGCTGTTGACTAAACTGGTTTGCTGGTACCTGTTGGGGGGCCACCCAACCCTGCCTCCCCTTGACACCATCAATGGAGGCATATTCACTCAGGTGACTCAGCTACCCCCACTTCTTTCCGGTGGACACATTTTTATTTATTAGATTTATATCCCGCTTTTTTCATGCAATGAACTCAAAGCGGCTTACATCATTCTCCTCCTCAGGCTTATCCCCACAACAACCCTGTAAGGTAGGCTGGGCTGAGAGTCTGTGACCTACAGTGGGAGCCCACTTTCCTCCCGGCCATGCTGCTGTGGGTTGTGGTCCTACCCAGCCATGATCTTTCAAGCCTTCAGATAGGCCTGGATGTCTCCATGAGAGAGGCAGTGTGGTGCAGTGGGTAAGAATGTGCGACTGGGACTCAGGCTGGGTTCTAGGCCCCACTCAGCCATGAAAATTGCCCAGGTGCTGCCTCCATTCTCCCTAGACAGCAAATAAGGCAAGAAGGAACAAAGCTCTACAGAATTCTGGTTTAGCATCAAGAAGTAGGGTGGCCAAGTGTCCTCCATTACAGAGGACAATCCCCTATTGGAAGGGCTGCCCTATATTTTGAAGTTGCCCCCCACTTGAACACCAAGTCCTGTTTCAAGACAAAGAACCTCCAGAAGGACGGGCCTCGAAGGCCCCGTCAGCAGTCAGCACCTGGACAGCAGCCTGGGCAAGAACACAGGCTGCTGGGCCGAGGTCATAAAGGGGCAGAGCTGGAAGGAGCTGGGAGGCCATCGGGTCCAACCCCCTGCCTTGCAGGACACTGAGTCACACCACCGCCTTCCCCACTACCATGAGATGAACTCTTTTCCATGCAGGTTAGAATCCTCTCTGGATCTATGCAAACGGACGCCATTTGCCCCCTGTCACTTGCAGTCTGCCCAGGAGCCCTGGTTCCACTACACCACCGCTCACACTGGAGCGGGGCCAGCTCCAGCCTGTGGGCGAGCGGGCACTGGACAGAGCCCCTTCCCCTGTCAGAAGGCTCAAGGCGGCCATGCCCCCGGGGGCATTTTTAATTCCTGATCATTCTGCAGGGCGGGGGTAGGTTGGCCACACCCGTGGGAAACTGAGGCAGCAGCCCCAGGATTCCAGACCCCAAGACAGCAAGACCTGATGGAGCACCCCAAGAAACAGAGGAACTTCTGACACTGCTGGGGGGGGGGGGAGAGGCACATCGCTTCAGAGCAGTGTGAAGGAGACCTGGATGCGCAAGAGCATGGGTACCCAAACCCTTCCTTCCCTGCTCACAAGTTATGCAGGGGCACTAAGCCCACAAGCCCTTCAGTTCTATCACAACACAGGGGGTGGCAGTGTTGCACAGTGGTTAAGAATGTGGACTGGGGATCAAGAGATCCAGGTTCTCCTCTCCACTTGCCATGAAGCTCACCTACTAGGTCACTTTGGACCAGTCAGTAGCTAGCCTACCTCACAGAGTTGTTGTACGGATGGAATAGAAGGGAGGGGGATTAGGATTATGTAAGTTGCTGTAGGCTCCTTGCACAAAAAGGGTCAAATATCAATACATAGAAGTAAACTCCCATCCTCCAACCATCATGGCTTATGATCAGCACTAAAGGCAGGCTATGCCCAACACTCTGGCATCTGCTGTGTAAGGGGTGTCGCCTGCTGAGGGAGCTTGCTTGCTTTTCCCAGGATGCCCAAAGCAAAGAAAACATTAGCTTAAGGAAACAAGGTAAGCTGTGCAAGAGATGAGTTGCTACGCGAAGAGCTCGGGCCATCTGAAAGCTAGCGCTATCATTTGCAAGGCATATGAGCTGAATGCAGAAGGCACCTGAAGGTATGCACTGCCTCGTTGTTATGACTGAGGAGGAGTGCAAGGTAGACGACCATGGTCACTATTCAGAAACTAGCCAGGATCGGCGCTTCTCAGTAGAGATACCGGAGTTTATCCAAGTTTATCTATGTGATCATGAAATCGACCCTTGATCTCTCAGGCATCCTCCCTGGTATCTTTCCACTCCTTTGTATCTGATCTTGAATTCCGCAGGCGCACGGCCAGTGTCACGCTCCCACGCTGGAGACGGAGTTATGTAAGGGCGCTGAGGAAGAGGCCCCTCTTGGCGCGAACTCCGCTCGGCTCGCACGCGCAGACCCATTCAAACGGGCGAGCCCCTTCCGAGCCGAAGGGACTGCAACTGCTAAACCCGGCAGCAGAGCAAAACTACAGCACGCTGGCAGGGCTTCGGCGCTTCACTGGCACACTCTCTGCAGCACCCTGGGATCCTGCAAGGCAGCGAGCGGCGTTTCGCCCCCCGCAACATCCATTCACACGTGCAGCCAGACCAAGAAGGCCCACGCACCTTTGGCTCCCATCCGCACGACTGCCAGTATACCCGAAGTCTCCAAGTCCCCCACGCTGCTCAGCTGCTTCTGCCTTTCCAGAACGCGGCGGCACTTCCACTTCCCTTTGCGGAAAGAGCCACTTGCCGCCGGTTCTGACTCACCGGCAAGACGCCTCCACCGGCGCAGCCCGCAAGGACTCCTCGCCCCCCAGCAGAAGCAGCCGGCGAAGCACGCCGCTCCCCGCGCCGCCCTCCTTACCTCGAGGAGCCGAGCCGAGCCGAGCCAAGCCCCCGCGAGCGCGTCCAACAGCAGGTGCCGCTCTAGCGAAGCCGGACAGTCCCCCGAGCCCCTGCAGAAGCGCGCGCCGCCCTCCTCCGCGCCCGCCGCTTAAATAGCTCGCGGGGCGCCCTCAGTTCCGCGAGGGGGCGGGGCGAGGGGCGGGGCGAGGCTGCGGCGGGGCGGGGCCTGCAAACACCCTCGTAAGCATGACTCAGCTCAGCGGCCGCCGCGCTCTTTATGAATGGAGCGGCAGCGGCAGCGGCAGCGGCAGCGCCGGGCGGGCGAGGGAGGCAGCGCCGAAAGCGAACTCGGCGCACTGGGGAGCGTTTTAGGCTTCGGGCGGCTGCCTCAGTTTTCTTTTCTAAATACTGAATTTAAAAACAGCTCGCGATTTTGTCTTTCTTAGAGCCCGAGGAGTTGCTCCCGTAACTTCTCCCTCTTGCAACTCCGCAGGCTGGCCACGGGCTTGGGCTTGTGAAGCCGCACCTATGCGGGGCGGGGGGGGGGGTGAGCATATACAGTGGGGTTAGAAAATTCATTAAATGCAGACGACTATCATATCACTAAAAGCGGTTATTCCTATTGCAAAGGTAACACAAACGTGATGGGACAAGGTAAGCCAGCCTGGGATGTTAAAAATCGGGATTTTTAAAAAAATTGAAATTAAATTAAAAAAAACTTTCTTCCCCCAGTCATGGCTCTAGAAATAAATTAAACCCGTCGATGAATTCTAAATCAGCTGTCTCTGACCCCGCTCTCTTTGTGGGCTTGGGCGCTTGATAGTTTTTATTTGGCAACAGCTTATCAAACTGCTGCGAATGTCTTCATAAGCAGGATGGAAAGAAAAGGGAAATTAAAAGACTAAAGTGGGCTTGGGACGCAGCAGGTGGGCGCAGAACCGACAGGCGGATTCATCCTCCTGGCCTGGCACCTCTCCAGGCGTATCTCTTTGGGTACAATCCTGTCCATGTTTGGACTGAGCGAAGGCCTGCCGCTTGCCGCATTGCCCACCCAGCCACGTCTGAGCATGCCCAGGGCTGGACTTAGGTTCTTCTGGGCAAGCCCCCTTGCCTGAGTGGTGCTGTTCTGTTTTCCTGGCAGAGTTCCCATGGGTTTAGCGGGAAGGCCTGTCACAGCCATCTTCTTGCTGGCAAGTGAGGCTTCTTAGCGTTGGTGTCCGCAGGTGGCTGAGCCTTCTGCTCCGCTTGTGTCATGCTGTTTATAGGAACTTCATGGGCTCAGCAAATTCCTTTCCAGGTGGGACAGAAAGCCCCAGGCTGGAGCCAGGTTTGGGGGGTTCCCCTGCACGGGTTAATGCCCCTGCCTGCTCCTCTCGCCGCGGCCCTCTGAAAATGCCACACAGAGGGTTAGGAGGCCCCGCGGGAGACAAAATGTAATGGGCAGAGCCCTTCATCTCACAGAAGGCAGATGCAAACACTTTGCATTGTCTTTTTGGAAAGACTGTGGAGCAAGACTATGGGAGGGAGGGAGCAAAAGTGGCAGATTTGGCTACCTCTGCTGGTCGCCAAGAGTCTCTGGACCATCTAGCGCTCTCCAGGCATGTGGGTGGGAGGGCTGAGGAAATGGTCCTTCTACAAACTTAAGGGCACAGTCTCATAGATTCGTAGAATAGTAGGGTCACAAGGGGCCAAGAAGACCATCAGGCCCAACTGGTGCAGGACACCAACCCACACCATCCCACTCAGAGGCTGCCCAGTTTCTTCTTGAATGTCTCCAGTGTGGGAGAGCCCCCCAACTCTCCAGGCAGCTGGCTCCACTGTTGTGTTGCTCTGACAGCAAGGAAGCTTTTCCTGGTGTCCAGCCTGAATCTGGGTTGCTGCAGTTGAAGTTCATTGTCCTGTACTCTATTTCTGGGAATGAATGAAAAGAGGTCTCCTCCTCCTCTTTGTGACAGCCTTTGAGGTACTTGTAGAATACTCTCCTATCTCCCTGCAGTCTTCTCTTCTCGAGGCTGAACCTGCCTCGCTCTCTCAGCCTCTCATCACAGGGCTTATTTTCCAGACCCTGGATCATCCTTGTTGCCTCCTCTGAACCCTTTCTAGTTTCTCTGCATCTTTTTAAAACCTGGGTGCCCAGAACTAAGCACAGCATTCCAGGTGGGGTCTGCCTGGTGCAGAGTAAAGGGGAGTGGGTACCTCTCTTGTCCTGGAAGTGATAAGAAAATTCCCACACCACCCAATATTCCCCAACCAACCATGGTGGGAGGTATGGGACTCTTTTCTGTGTAAGCATGCAAGAGATTCTGCTCTGAATTAGTTTACCTGAGGATCCAAGCCAGTATTGTCTAGTAGAACCAGCTTGTAAGACTAGCTGTTTTAACAGGAGTTATTCCTAGGTAAGAGTACACAGGTTAGCATCTTTACATGATTCCTTTAGAAGGGGATTGCTTTCTAGTAAACATCCACAAGACCAGGCTGTACCATGGCATTTCTGCACACTTATTTGTGAGTGATTTGCAAATTGTGCATCTGTAGAAAGATGGTGCAGATACAGCTCTGCAAATTTTAGATGCACTGAACACGAATTCTTGTCTCTCCCAGTAGTAGTAAAATGTTATTTATCTGACCCTGTGACTTTACCAAAATCTTTAAAAAAACAAAACCAGTATCAGTTAAAACAAAGATTCTGTGCCGACCTGAGGAATCAGATACAGAAATATAATTTGAAATGAGACAACAATGAAAGACAGAAAGAGACTAAATAGCATTTTTTCAAATCCACACGTTGGCACCCATATTAGAAATCATACAATTGAAGAGAAAATGGGATCCATGTTCTGTTTCCCTTGAAGGATAGCGCTAAAGGTGCTTGGATTTGTTCTCTGTTTGTATGGGGTCCAAACATCGGAAAGCGGTCAAACAGGGCTGTTGGGTCTTAGTGGGGTTTTCTGCCTCAGCACAGGCAGAAATTCAACAGGTGGATTTTTTTCCTAGCGGACTGTGAAAGCAGTTCAAGGACCAAGTTGGGCTTGTAATGTTACTGTCACTGGGCATTTGTTATGGGAAGGCAAGGTATAAACATAGCAATAAATAAATGCACACCATTTACAAATAAGGCCTGCAGCAAAACATTTATTTAATCATTCTTGGGGTGCCCTTCGTTGTGGATATTGAGGAGGAATATAGGAGTATGATAGAATTTATCATCATGATGCAATAAAATATCATTTAAGCAGGATAGCAGAAAATGCAACAGACAGATTAAATCAACCAATTAAAATATTGACAGTTTTTATAAGAAGTAGGTGCATTATTATTATTGCTATTTGATGTGCCACTTTCCTCTTAAGGAAGCCCAGGGTGATACAAAAGAACATACGAATATGCCATTGCATTTCTTGGCCAGGAGAAGCGGTTGACGAGCTGGATGGGACCGCCCCCCCACCCGTGGGCCTTGGGAGCTGCTGTTTATTGATTCCCATTTTAGTCCGCCTGGGGGCTACAGGATAGGATGCAAACACAGATGGCTGTCCTGATTTTATGGAACTTCCTTCAACAAGGAATTACCCTCATTCCCCAAGCGGTCCGTTCACCCACTCCATTAGGACATTTCCTCGGAGGTTTTGCTGAAATGTGCTTCCTTGAGGTGCCCACCTGTTGGCTCTCTTCCTGCCCTCTGGAGGAACCGAATACATGCCTGCATGGCGGTCCTTCAGAGAGGCCGGGTTCAATCCTATGCGTGGTTTGCCTGCAAAACATCCTACAGTTCTGTCGTGCCTGATGCCCCGACAGAGGCGGCACCTCACGAGGAGGTCTTGTGCTTGAGACCCTGTACCCAAAATCAAACCCTGTACCCAAATCAAAGCAAGAGGGCCCTGAGGGAAAAGTCTCCCCCACCTCGTGTCTCCTGCGTCATGCCCAGGAAGTTCAGCGTCAGAACGGGGTGGGTCAGTCTGCTCGGGCGCTCCATGAGCAGAACTCATCATGCCTTTCCCCTCGGGGCCCTCTTGCTTTGATGTGGGCTCGGGTGTTTGCTCAATGGGCAGAGGGTCAGGATGAGGTACGGCTACCTGCTCAGCCACCCCCAAGCTAGGTTGTGGGGTTGACATTCAAGGACAGGGTCTCAAGCACAAAACCTCCTCGGGAGGTGCCGCCTCTGTCGGGGCATCAGGCACGACAAGTTCCCAGCGTGGCTGACTGGAGAATGCCGGGAGTTCTAAGACTTTCTCTGTCTAAAGGTGCGCAGGACTGTGTCCTTAAAGACAACTATCTCTCCTTGATGCTCTTTTTTTGAACCTACTCATGTTCCTCTGTCCCTCATAGGACAGTTTAATCACTATCCACCAGCCCTCCAATCTGTATTGTATGATAAGCTTGGTGGCCTCTTTTTTCCCCTTCTAAAGGATGGGAGTAGGTAGATGCAGGCGGCTGACCAGCAGAAATCTCAGAAGGATTTGTCCCTTTCAAAATGGCATGTTGAGAACTTCCCTCCATGGTGCACTTTGTCCAGATTCTTTTTGTTGCTGCACTGCAGAGTTGCGGTGAACTCTGAGATCATGGGAATGTGGTCACAGCATGACTAAGAACTTTTACCTTTCCCCACACTGTTTGTAGAGCTGTAAATCTTGCTATGAAGTAGTTGCATCATCCCCAGAGAGAAGGTATGATGTTGTTGTTGTTTTCCGGTGCTCACGAGAATCTGTGACCTGCAATCCCGGAAAGAGGCACCTCACTCTTGCAATGCAATGGCTGGGCTCAGTGCAGCACAGCAAGCTGCAGCCACTTCGAAGCTCTCCGTGGTGTTCACCCTGCCTAAACCCAGCAGCACAAGTGGTGCCCACAAGTGGTTAGGGCTGAACATGGGTTGTTGGTGGGCTGTGGTTGCTGAAAGATGGGTGG